TAGCCTGTGAAACCAGCACCTCCTAAAGAAACATCCCTCTGCCAATTACTCCGAAGGCATGGATTCAGCTCAGCATGAGAGCTTGATTGAAGCCAGTTGGCTGTGCCAACAGGACAGGGATGGCTCAAGAGAGGCTTCGTACAAAGTACAGAAACTCTAAACAGATTTCTTCAGTCTTTCCTCCATCCATGCTCAAACAAAGCCAGCAAAGTCAGAAAAATGGCAATATTTTACCAAAGAGAGGACTTATCCCACAGCTCTGCCATCCCCCTGGAATGCCCACAGAAGGGAAGGAGAGAGTTGCACAGAAAACTGCAGGAGGCAGACGCAGACTTCTGCTCTCTGAGCCTGCCTCTCTGAGACGGAGGGTTTGAGGTTTTCCAGCAAGCTCAAGGAGCAAATCCTCTAAGCCCTGTGATTTCTCAGGCATGTGGCCTCGCCGTGGGCACCTCGAGTACGTGCACCCAGAGCCCTGCATAGAGTCTGGCCCTGGGGGAGCTGTGCCTGTGGCTGGAGCCCTGCCAGCTGAGGGGAGGACAGAGGGACGAGCACGCTGGATCGCCACACCAGTGTCTGCTCTGCTCTGCTCTGCTCGTGTGCAGCCTCTCTGGCCCACAGCCTTTTGGCTCGCCCCACCTGCCTTTCTTCCCTTTTTTTCCCTTTCCCCCAGCTGAACTGGCGGAGAGGAGGTTGCAGCTCCTTTCGGTCCCTGCAGCTTTCCTGTCTGGCTGACGCTGTGCCCTGGACACAGATGTCTGCTTCAGTATGGATCCTGCGAGGCACAAGTTACGCTCGCGGGAAGAGTGTGGAGAGGGAAGATGCTGTGATCCCTAGGTGGGCTGTGAATTGCTGCCGTCCTGTTCAAGAATGAAATAACAATAACAACTAACAACATACTGCCTTAAACAGTGGTTGTTTAGAAAGAAGATTTCGGTACATTTTCACAATTAATTATTTATCCAGGCAGCTACTTCGTTTAAAAGCATCCCGTCCACATAGCTCACCCTCTGTGAGCTCATTAATGCTCAAGCTGTGTCACCTCGGGCTAACCTGGTGGCTGTTGATTGAGTCCCGTGACAGCTGTTTGCAGAGGTTTGCCCTGCTCCCTGCCAGCAGCCTGCCTTCCTCCTCCAAATTGCCTCTCCATTCCAGGCAGGGTTCAAATTTCTGAGTGAACGCTATCCTGGGCAAAATGGTTGGATTTCTGAGAATAATAGGTAAGGCATGACAGATAACATCCTGCACACCCCCAGGAGTGCTCCTGCATGTTACAGCTTGAAGGTGTTGGTCAAGGTGAACCCTGCGCCGAGCCCATAAACATTTAAGTCCCAGAACAAGTGTTTGGGGGTGTACAAACATGTTAATGACCTCCAGTTAATTGGCAAGCAATTACCTTGAAGTAAAAATAGCTTTCCCCTTGCTGAGCAGTCACAAGAGCACGTGTCCCCCTATGAACACTGAAATTTTTGGCCAAGGAGCCTTGTCCAACTTGTCTTCTGGATCCTGGCAGGTCTGTGATCAAAAGTGTGTTGTCCCCAGCACCAACTGCTGTTTGTTTGTGGTAGAGACTCAGCAAACAGAACTGTCTGCCAAAGCTAATTTTCACGCTGCCCTTTAATAAAGTTCTGCAGTTCATAATGCAATGAAAAAGTAAGATCATATTGACTGGCAAAAGCGTGTGGTTCAGCAAGGGAAAGTACCTGCTGTGTGCACTATAAAGGAACTATCAGTGAAAGCTAGGTAAGTATTTTTAACCTAAAGACAGCTTGGCAGGCTATAATGTGTCTCCTACCAAATTTCGAATCTTTCTGATCCTTTGCATGACAAAAATACACAGCTGGACTGATTTCATCAGATGTGTATTGCAGCTGAGAACCAAGAGGCCTGCACCTAGCACAGCTCTTGGCACTCCAAGGGGACCCGTGGGCAGATGTTTGACCTGTTGCCTCTCTGCCACCTACAAAAGTCAGCAGCATCTTTTCAGGAGGTCTCCAGCCCATGCAAACCATCAGCTTCTCTTAGAACTTGGATCAAGTCCTTGCTTGATCCTCCACAATACTTTGGGAAAAAAAAGGCCCAGATTTTCCTGATATGTAACCAAACCACACCTGGGTTTCATTCCTGGAAGAGATTGTCACAGCGTTTCTAAGAAGGCAATAACTGGGCACACGTGAGTCTGTCGCTGAAGTCCCGTGACTCTGGGGCTTGTGGTGGCCGAGATGAGCTGGCACGTGGCGCAGGGTGGTTCCAGCTGCAGAGCCACATCTGCTCCCTGTGCTCCACAGCAGCGCGTGAGGTGCTTGCTGCCTGTGCCATCCCTGTCTCCAGCTGCTCCTGGCCATCCCTCTCTCCAGGCAGTGTAATGTCATGCTGAGGAGGAGGGAAGCAGGTGACACTGGGAGCCGCAGGACAGCCAGGGTGTCTGGCACAGATTCCTCTGGATGCTGCAGTGGGCTGCAGGGTCAGTCCACAAAAATCTTTCCAAAGCAGCCAGAGGTCTCTGCCTTGTGTCCTGGAGGAGTGAGGGAGTGGCAGATGGAAAAAACAAAACTAGCAAAATGCATTTCACAATCCTGGCAGCAGTACTCGGCAAACAGAGGAGCCACAATGATGGAGTCTCAGATTGCTCTCCCTGTGCAGCCTGGCTTTAGGGACTCTGGCGTTGTTGTGAGGCTTGAAAGGGCTCCTGTTCCCTCCTCTGGCTCCTATGGCCTTGCATTTGGTATCCTCAGGTGTTTCAGGCTGGAGGAGCTGTAATGAGTACAGATACCAGAGCTTTCCAGGAAGCATTCAGGTACAAGTGCAGCTCTGTTCACTGTAGCTGCCTTGAATTAAAGTTCTGTGCCTGTAGTGGCAGACAAATTTGCTGGCAAACATTTTGAAAAAAAAAAAAAGAAAAAAAGAAAAAGGCATCAATCCAGAAAGGCACTGTGCACAAACTAAGCTTAGTCTAAATGAGTACACCTGTGCTCGACACCAGGCACGTGATGAATGCTCTGCTACATCCTAGCCAAAATAAATTTAAAATGAATATCGGCGTGTACTGGTGTGAGATGAATGCTGGTCTTGTAAGCAGGACCGCATGTGGCAGAAACAGGATCCTCCCGCCCGGCGTGTCAGCTGGGGATATCCACAGGGAGGGTCACGTGCGCTCCTCTCGAGCTCACCAGCAGGGCTGGTGAAAACAGGTTTTGATTTGAATGAGTTATGACCCATTGAAAATGGCATCATGTGTAACCACAGTAAATTGTCATAATGAGATCACGAGGCTGGAGAAGTGAGCGGCGAGCAAAGAGGCCGCGTTCCACCGGCACCCGCGGCTGCCAGCCCGGGGCTGCAGAATGCAACCCGGGGACACGCTCCTGATCCCTGGGCATCTTTGGGGATTTAGGGACAGGACCAGGGCTTGCACAGCCAGGCAAAAAACCATCAGCAGTTTTGAGTTAAAAAGAAGAAAAAAAGCTAAAAGTCATACAGCTTTGCATTTAGTCTTATCCAGAGTAACAGAGGGGACTGGGCTAACACAAAGAGTGGACAAACACGAGTACTGTTATTGCTGCCATGTTCACTCAGGCTTAGCCTAGATGTTTCTAAATCATGCTGCTGTAGGAAGGGAGGGTTTGGTGCACAGAGCACTACAGAGGTGAAAGGAAATCCTCCTGGAAGCACAATAAAAGCCTTGGTGTATCCCAAGTTCACAGTTCTGCCAGACCAGCCCTCCTGAACCCTGCTCAGGCATGGCTGCCCTGGGCTGCCATGCAGCTGTAAATGCTGCAGAATCATCACTGCCTTCTCTATTTTCACAGGAAAGATAGAGGCAAAGTCTAAAACTCTGATCAGTTTGATGGACTTAAAATTTTACCAAATACCTGGACAACATAAGTAGCAGAGCTCCTGCCTTCCAGGTGTATTGTAGGTGGACTTTTGGCAAGAGCTCCTTTCCATTCCTCCCGACACTGTGCTATTTGTGTGGGGCCGTTCACATCTCAGGGGACTGGAAGAAACACACTCATTCTGCTTCTCTTCTCAAGTTATCAAGTGCACGTGGCCCAGCCACATCCTCCCGCTGCCCGCGAGGCACAGGGCAGAGGTGTGTGCATGCTGCCCGCTGCAGGACCTGCTCTGTTCCCTTGGTCTCAGGGCAAACCAGGCTGCTTTCCATGTGGCTGCCACTCCTCTAGTCTTGCACCCTTCTGTCTCCTCCATCTGTTAAGCTCTGCACACAAATATCTGTGCCCCTGAGCCATGGAGCCATTCGGGCTCGTGCGGATACGCAGCACCTTCCTGACTCATATGGTCTGTTTACAGTGGTTTGGTCATGGCTGAATTCATAGCCTGAGTCCATGGATAAAGAAACACCCAGCTCAGTGCTGTTCCATGCAGTGCAGGTTAGCCCTTGGCCCTGGGGTTGTGCTTGCATTTATCCAAGATGCACAGTCTGAACAGCACATTGAAGCCTAAGCCATTCCCAGGACCCCACATCTCCTGTTGTGAGCAGCTGGCTCCAGGTGCTTCTGCTCTTCCAGTAGAAGTGCTTGAGGCTGATCTGGAAGGCTCTAGTCTTGTTTCCCTGGTGTTGCCTTGCTGACATTGCTGCAAGGACAGCCGAAAGAGATGGAGACCAGCCAAGCTGAAGAGACACAGGGGAAATGTGTCCCTGCATACACTTAAAAGCAAAGCACGGGGAGCACTGAGGATTTCCTGGTGTACCAGAGGCGTCTTCCCAGTGGGGGCATGTCTGCTTGCCACAGGTGAATGTGCCAACACTGCCCATGCTGCAGTGCAGGTACAGATTTTCCAGTTGATACCTTCTCTGTAGCTAATGAGAACCAAAAATAAAACTGCACGTTTGAAATACTTTCTGAATTTACTGCTTAAGCTGACTTGCTGTGTGTCATCCATAGAGCAGAAGTCCTTCTGAGCTTTCATTCTTTAGTCTCAGCTTAGTAGCCCTGCATAAACCCCTACTAACATGCCTTATTTTTATAATACCCATGTAGGAGAAGAATTTGGACTGGTTCCCTCGGATGAGAGCCATGTCTCTGGTTAGCAATGAAGGTGACAGTGAGCAAAATGAAATCAGGAACCTGCAGGAGAGGCTGGAGTCAACCATGAGCCTTGTGAAACAGCTTTCCAGTCAGCTGGCTGAGCTCAAGGAACAGGTAAGTGCCCTGTGTGGGTAGCAAAGTGAGCACGTGTGGGTGAAGGCGCTGCCTTCCATCACGTCGCAGTCAGGACAGTGTTACAAAAGAGACTTTTGTCTTGGGAAGGTTTTATCTTTCCCTCCAGCAAGCTTTCTGGGTAGATACACTGATAAGGGTTTGGAGTGAAATTGTACTCTGTTAGCAACAGCAGAGATCAGGTAAGGAGAAAACTCTGGAGGGGAATTAGTCATGAAATGCTCCTGGTGAGTGTGCAAGGACAGAGGGGAAACTGCAGAAGGGATGAGGGGCTGCATAACCCGGCAGTGAAAGCAATGTAGTGTCAGGAATAGCTGCATACTGATGGGAGCCTGGAGGGAAAAAAGCCTTCTGTGTCCTGCCCTTGGGTTTTTCCCCCACTGAGAACATCAACAGTGCCCTTGTGAAAACAATTTGCAGAGCCTGTTGCTTTGCTTGTGTCACCCTTGTGCTGGTTCCCCTCCTGCAGCTCCCTCTGCTCTCCTGTATGGAGCACAAGCTGCTGGCCTCCCTTAAAGCCTCCCTTAAAGCCCTGCTCCTGCCCACATTGCCTGCCTGCTGTGTTTGCTCTCCCTTCAGGATCAAAAGGCCAGCTCCTTTTTTGCTACAGGTGCTGGTCACCTCTGCTTTGCTCATTACAGTTTCAGAAAAGCATCTGTGTGTTTTCTTTATGGGAAGCCCTTCAGTGGCATCAACAGAGTTATCTAATTATTCCCCTTCAAATCCCTCCTTAAAACTTTTCCCTGTGAAAAACCCAACAAAGGTTTAGGCTGGATGTGCTGAGACCATTGCTCATTGTGCTTACCCACAACATCCTGGTGGGATTTTTTTCATCCCCCTCTGGCTGAATCTGTTCTCTCCTGGCTTAAATTTAAACCCTGTGTGGCCGGGGCCATGTTTTCCTTCTGTGATTCTACAGCACCAAGTGCAAACGCTGACCCTCTGCAGGGCTACACAACACAATAGCAGCACAAATAATACTCTGTAAGACCGGCTGGGGGATAAGAATAATGTGTAAATGAGAATAAAATGTCCATACTTTGCAGGAAACAGATCTCCCACTTCAAAGACATCCCTTACTTGTAATTTTCTGTGCTGAAGAAAAGAATTCCACTCCCTGTTGTTTTGCTTATATGTATCTTGCTCTGTGACTGCTAAATAATAGTAAAAAGAAAAAAAAAATCTCAACTCGTCTCTCTCTGCCTTTCCACCTTAGATGACAGAACAAAGGAAGAATAAGCAGAGGCTGGGCTTTCTTGGATCAAACACACCCCATGTGAATCATCACATGCCACCACCCTGATACCACGGGGAGAAGCCGTGACTAGCCTTTCATCAGTATTCCTGCTTTATTATAGAATAAAAAACTGAGATTGAGAGGAGTGAACAGTGCCTATTGTTACAAAGTTAAAAACAACCAAGTGCCAAGATGTTAAGTGGTTTAGCTCTGGGAACAATTTGTAGCTGTTTTTCATGGTTGAGAGGGACCACAACCTAGAATGTGAGCGATACAAGGCAGCTCGTTTGTATTCCCTGCGCTCGGCTCGGGCTCCAGGGCTGCCTGGGACACAGGCTGGGACAGAGGCTGGGACAGAGGCTGGGACAGCACTTGCCACATCCTGGGAGCCCCTTTCTCCCCGGAGCACCGGGAGGAGCGAGCTGAGCAGAAGAAGGAGAGGTGTTTATTGAGGCAAGCACGACAGCCTGGCTCAGAATCAATAGGTCGTCTCCGGCTCACTTGCCAAATAGCAACATTAGTCATATTTGCTTGGCATTTACTATTTTCTAATTACCAAAAATATGTCAGTCCGTAAGCGGTGATGTTGCTTCAAGTAACTTCTACTAGGAGGGAAAGGGGAGAAACCTCAAAAGACTGGAGGAAGGAAAAAAAAAAAAGGAAAAAATAGAAAAAGTTGCAAAGAGATACATTAACGCTTTTGAATTTTAGCTGTCACCATGCAATTTCTTATTTATAACATGGAGCACAATGGATCTACAGCTGTGGGAATGTTATGCACATAATACTGACAACATAACTGGAAGTGATTTCTTTCTCCTGGCTTCAGATGTTCTCGATTAATGTGGCCGTGAGGTTTCACATACTGAGGAGTTAAACTGTGTTTTAAATTCAAGTTCCAATGGAGGATTCAGGGAAAAAAATTATACCTGTAGTTTGAAGTGTGTATGGGATTTTATTTTTTAAAAAAAGCTTAGAAATGTCTTTCTGTACAGAAATGTAATGGTGTCATTACCTTCCATAAACTCACCTTCAGCAAGAGTTGATTTGAGTAAATAAACACCAAATTCTGCCAGCTTTCCTCTGAGCTACAGATCATGGGTTGATGGTTTTTGCCTGCCCTTCCCATTTTTAGGGGTTTGCAGGGAAGCCTGGTGGGGAAGAGGGGGGCAACATCAGAGAAGCTCCTCCCAGCTCTCAGCCCTACAAAAGGCAGCAGCTAAGTCACCCGTGCAGGTTTATGCTCTATCCTGTATTTCTTTGGATGGCTTGAAAGCAAAGTTACAGGGTTTCCAGAGAGCCCTAGAGGACTCTTTTGTCTTTTAGGAAAAAAATTGAGAGGCACAAATGGGAGTTGTGTCCTCAGTTTGCTTTCATTTTCAGTGGGTTTTGGTTACCAGATTGTCTCACATTTGAAAATGCACCTCTGGAGTCACTTTTTAAACCAAAATATTTTTGCAATGATTTGCCCCTGTAAAATTTTCATTTTGTTATAAAAGCCATTTTGATCAAAGGAAAAAATATTATTGGTGTAAATATTTTCCAGTTTCTTCCTGGAGAAATGGTGTTGTCCTGGTTAAGGCACTATTCAAACCAACAGGTCTAGAGTAAAGGGAAGGAAGGGGTATTTCACTCTCTTTATCCCAAATTCAGACCAGTTTTTTAAGCTACTTTTTTTTTACATTTTTTGTGGCAGTGATGTGGCTGAGATAAAAGGAATATATTGTAGCAACATACTTATATCTTCTACCACTAAAACATCTCCCATTGGCTTCAATTGTGTCCTTCAAAAATAGTGTAGAAATCAGAGGTTTGTGTATTTTACTGGAATAAAATCTCTTTCTGTTGGCATTAGTTCCAGAGAGCACCCTGGTTGCGAGAGGTGATGGCCAAAGGAGCTGCCCACAAACACAAAGTCAGCAGTAAGTTGGTAGGGACTCAGACCCTGTAGCTGTATTAATTCAAATTAGTTCATACAGTTAATCAGATCTACTCACAGCTTCTGTTGCAACAGCAATTTCTTTTTCTCACAAGCGTGGTTCTAAAACACAAAGCACAGTTCAATTTTAAGTTAAACTCTCATTATTTATTGGGGGGTGTGTGGTTGGCTAATACTGGAATGGGTTGGCACTTTTCTTGTTTACACTCAGAAAAAGCAGCTGCACGTCAGGGGAGGCTTCTGCTGCTGGAGCTGGAAGAAGTTGAGGCTGGATGGGTTTGTGCCCGAGCTCAGGGCTGCAGGTGGGTGCTGCTGGTGCTCCCTCTGGTTCACACCCAGCCCACATCCCCTGGGGCTCAGGAGCCCAGCTCCTGCTCTTCAGAAGGGAGAGTTACAGCATCAAAATCAGAGAACAGATGCTGGTTCACCTTGGCCACCTTGGTGCCTTTCTGCTGTTCACAGCTTCCCAGAGAGACCTCCATAATCAGTAACAGTAGGTGATGCTACTTGCACAGACTGTAAATATATTTCACTGAGAATTTCAACATCTTTGCTGTTTCTGTCAAAACTTAGGCCCTGCCCTGCTCTCATCCATGTGAGCAATCTGTACACTCACACGTGGTAAGGCAAACAGGAGGCCTTGCATGGATAATGGTTGCAGGGCCAGGCCCCAAGACTTAAAAGATTGTGAAATATCCCCATGAATGAGTTTATAACAAAAATCATTGTTTTATACATATATTTATGTGTATATCTTTGTTTAATGCAGCTGGGGTAACCTTTTCCTAGGCAAGTATCATTTACCTTACCTATTTATATGAAATGATTGCAATGAAGTTAAAACTTCTAAGAGCTTTTAATGCCTTAGAGACATTTATAATTATAAGCTCCTTGACAGTTAAAACCTACTTAAGTGAACGTGTCCATTGCTGCTGAATGTAACTTTTAATAAAATGTGTCATTTTATATATGTCTGTCTCATTCTTGGGGCTAAGGCTGGGGGGAGATGTGTGTTCTGGTTTGGGAGGAGCAGGCTGGGTGGGGGCCCAGGCTGTGGGTGTGCACCCATTCCTTCAGCCCTGAATGGATGGAGGCTGAATGCAGCAAGGAAAGCAAGAATTTGTGTCGATTGCTCCAACCAGGATGATGGACCCAGGCATGCTGCTCTTCCCAGAGGTTGGGTGGCAGCTGGCTGTAGGATTTGCTGGAATGCTCTGAGGCCAGGGGAGCCCTGGTGCAGGTGGGCAGAGCCAGGGATGGTGATGGGTCAAGTGTTACCAGGCAGGGATGAGCACAGAGCCTCAGGGTTCTGCTGCTGCCTGATCTTTTCCAACCTTTATGATTCTGCAGTACTGTCATGCAGGCTTTTCTGTGCGAGCTTATTTTGCACATTTTTGTCCTCTCTTTTTTTAAATGTTTTTAGTGTAACTCTTTCAGGTAGCACATTGAGAGAGAGACCAAGGGCTCTCCCCACTTCTCTGGGTGAAAGAATTGAGAAAGACAAATTGTGTCTCTCAACTTGGGCTAAGGAAATCTGTGGTCTTGTGGAAAATGGAAGAGCCCTCCCTACAAACCTGTGGTCAATAAACTACACCATATAAGTCCTTTTTTTTTCCTTTTTCCCAGCTGGTTTTTTTTGGTGGTTTTTTTTTGGTTTTTTTTTCACAAATAGTCAATGAGGAAAAAAATAAGGCTTCTTCTTAGTGAGAAAAAGTCTGCTAATTAATTAGTAAGAAAAATCCTATTAAATGGAGCATGCTGTTTCTCCTGAGCACTCGTTCCACCAACTTGCTGAGATTTTGAGTAGAATTAACTTTCTTTTCTATTCTCTGGTATGATTTTAAGGCCAAATAGAAAGGAGCTTATTTACTACTAGGTTTGTTAGATGGTTTTGCAAAAAGGATATCCTAAGAGAAAATGGGGTTTCATGCAGCAAGCTTTCAACCTAAGATTTCAGTCAAAAAGCCCCCAAACCAGCATTAAGCTTCTAAGCTCAAAGGGGAGCAGTTTCACATGCAGGACTGAGAACCTAATGCCAAGGCTTTTCTTTTTCCAAATGTTTGCCCCCAAGGCACATTTTAATTCAAGAGGTGTTTCAGGGAGCAAACCTCTCCCTCGGCACTGGCTCACTCTGTTCTGGCCTGCAAGTGAATTCTGCTCCTCCCTTTCCACCATTGCTGCTGCTGCTGTGACAAAAGCATCTGCAGGCAAGGATGTTTTCTTTGGAAAGCACGTGCTTCTCTTCTGGGGAAGGCTGCCAAGTTCATTTTTGAGGGGAGAAGGCTGAGATTTAAGGCTGCTAACCTCTCTGCTGCCCCGGGATGCCCGCAGGAGCACAACTCCTGCCTGCAGGTGTCCATGCTGAACATCCTGAATTTGCACAGAATCATTCAAAATGCCTCAAAAGGAACTCAGGCTGTGGGGGTTTGAAATGTGCAGTGCTGTATTGCTACCATAAACTCACATTTGCCCACTCTATTTATATGCTGCACTGTTTCAGGCTGGAGAAGGAAGCTGCAAGGCAGAAGACAAGCAGCCTTTCTAACTTTGCTATTCCCACGTTTTTCTCTTGCTGCAAACAGCCAAGAGTTAACTTTCTTTTTGTACTGGAAGTTTCTTCCTCCATGTCTCCACCTTTGTCTGCTGCCACTCAGGTAAGGTGAGACCTGGGCATGTCCTGGACCATGGGGTTTGCTGATTAACCAAAGCAATAAGCTAAAATGTGTAGGAGCATGGTGTTCTTATGACTTAATAATTCTGTTTAAATGTTGTAGATCATCAACATCCAATATCTGACTCAATGTAAGCAGGAGGTTTTCCTTTTCTTGTGGTAAATCATTGCAGAGTCTCCATCCCCTGGTGGAGCAGCCATGTGGCCTTTGCCAAGGCAGCCCACACCCCTGTGCAAGGCTGTGGGGTCAGCCCAGCCACTGCTTTGGGTGGGCTGTGTCACCATTCAGATTTCATCCAGATGGCAAGAGCAGTGGGGGGATCCAATTACAGCCCAAAGGCCCAAACTCCCTTTATAAGTTACTCCCTTCTGGCCCCCAAAATCTGCAACATTTATAGGTTTTGTTCCCAGTAACACTGAGCTGCCACAAAAACTGTGGATTTTGGGCACATCCTCAGTGTTTCCTGTAATGGCCTTCAACTGGGATATGTCAATCTGAATTTCACAATCCTCTCCTAGGAGCACCAAAGATATAAGGATATTTTTCCTTGCTTTTCCTTACCAAAGACATAAGGATATTTTTCCTTGCTTCTTCTTCCCTGCCCTGCCAGTATTACAGGATGAAACACCCGGGACCTGTGTTAACTCAGTCCCTGCTGTAGAGACCCGCAGTTGTGTCCAGCAGAGCACAAGACAACCCAGAAACAGGGTTTAAAAAATCCATTTTCAGTCATGAGTTGCTGTTGGATGATAGAAGTTGGCTCAGAGTTTATAGTATTTTTTTTTTTCAAGTCACCTTTTGCTGGCTTTGAGGTTGGGTCTGGCCCATTTGCAGCCCTCTGGGGAGCAGCAGCGGCGGCTTTGTCTGGCACAAAAGCTCCCACCCCAATTTGATAAAGCCAACAGAATTCCTGGTGGTCCCAAAACCCCTCCCAGCCCTTCATCTTTCTGTTCTAGGAGCTGAGGTGTTTGTGCTGTGTGTGGTTTGCACACACAGCCCAGTCTGAGGGTATTTGGGAACACTGGAACAGGAATGGGACAGCTTGGCTGCAGCCCTAAACAAGCAAAGCTGGTGTGAGCGCTGCCCTCCCGTGAGAAATGCAAATCCTGCTGCCTGTGGAGGAGGCAGGAGAGGAGATTTTGGTCCCTGGAGCTGTCATGGCTCTTCCTATGCAGGTGTAAACATCTGTCCAGGTTCCTGGTTGGCAGCTGGGATGTGGGAAGATGCTAGCAGAGTATTGTGCACCTGGCCCCACACTGTGAGAGTTGTCAACATGATGTGTTACAATGCAGAGAAAGAAAGGGAAGGAAGAAAGTTCAAGGGAAGGTCTTAAGGGTACAAGAAAATGTTGTCAAGGATGATTTTACTGGTGGGATTTACTAAAAGTTTGCTTTTGAGTTACTGTGAATAACTGGTGTTACCAGAAGCTGGCTGTCCATGTCTTTGTCAATCTTGAGTCCCTTTTCAGAAGAGAGCACTCACTGGTCCACTGAAACCCCTATTGCTCGGGGTCCTTGTTCTATGAACTCTGGGGCTCTGGGGTTTTTTTGGGAGTTTGTCCACAGCACCTCACTTGGGATGAGTGCTCTCTTACATGAGCTCTAAATAAATGCAGAAATATAAACCAAGCTGGAAATTTACTGAGTACAAGCTGTCTTGCAAAATTGCCTGCGTTTCCTGGCTCTGGATGGGATGGAAATACCACAAGACTCCCTTCTCTCAGAGTAACGTGATACTTCTGCTTCCGGGCTCAGCGCAGAGCGGGAGGTGGAAGCGTGTTCAAGAGAGGAAAAAGAAAAGCAAAAGCAAATTATAATCATGCTCATTTTTAACATGGCAAAATCAAACTCCCAATTAGAATGCTTGAAGTGGCCACTATGATCATCTACTCAAAAGTCTCGTGCAGTGCAGGGGGTAGAGTTCTATCCATCTGCTCCTCTGTGGCACAGAGCTGGAAATGGGGGCTAACCTGGCCTGGAAGTCTCCATGGGCAGAAGACATGGGCTGTATCTGCCAGCTGGTTCTCATCTGACTCCTCTTCAGCCCAAGTGCTGCATCCTGGCCAGGCAAACCAGGTTCCCCATGGGCCATGCTGGTTCCCATTTCTCCAGGAGAGGGAAATCCAGTCTAATGCAATCTCAGGATGCAAATCTTGTTCTGCAGCACAGGCATTGTAATAATAGCCCACATGTCTCAGCACATGGCCTTGGGTGGTGCCTGGGGCATTTGGCCACTGAGCCTGTGGAGGAGGAGCTGTGCCCACCCCGCTCGAGGTCATCACCTCCAAGGCAAGGAGCACAAATGTGAAGTTGTTTTGTGGGCTGAATGTGGTTCTTCTGCACTCACACAAAATCTAGGCAGGTATGGTGCTGCCAGATCACCTCTTTTTTCCTTTTATTTTGCCTTGTTTTAGTGGCGAGGGCTCCCCTCAAGATGGCCTTTCCTCAGCCAGACCTTCACAGACACAGTTTCTCCAGCCAAGTGACAAGTTATCTTGTGGGATCCCTGTAATTTTCCCCATCTGGTCAAATATTTGGAGGCAGAAGTTATGTCAGCTGAGGTGTCAGGGAAGGAAACAAAGCTGTGCCCCTGCTGGGACAGTATGATGTGGCTGTGATATTGCTGTGGCAGAGAATGCCCATGGTGTGAGCAGCCACATCCTAAGGAGAAGATGGCTGGGAATTTAGGGCACCGCACAGCTCCTCCCCCTGATCCAACCTCCAGCACAGGGTGAAACAGGGACCTTGGTCCAGCCTGCCTTTGTCACTGCTCCCCCCTCAAAAGAGAGGAGTGAAGGTCTGTGTCCTCAGCACTGCCCATGAGGGGTGTCCCCTCCTGCCTTTGCCAGAAAATGTCCTATTAACAGCATCTTCTGAGAACTGATGGAGACCACACATGTCCTTTCAGCCAGGCCAGCAAATAACCTTCAGCTAAGTCTGCCCAGGGCTGTTTTGGATCTGGTGATCTGCATTTAGAAATAGTCTCGGTATTTTTAAATGTTGCCTGAAGCCATCTGCTCCCCTCTTCATTTTATGTTTTAATTGTCATTTATAACATATTATATGAGCTATTCAAAATCCAGACAGACACTGGAGGGGAGTGAGTGAGTCCCGAGCTGCAACACACAGAAATCTCTGCAAGTCTTCCCTCGGCTTTCAAAGGGCTTGGGGCTGGCACCCCCGTCAAGGCAGCCGGAGTGGCTGCAGCTCTGTGGGATCCTGGCTCTGGGACACACCCTGTGCATTCCACAATTGCTGCCAGGGCCAGGGACTTGCTCTTGGCTAGAGCCAGGCA